ATTTGACACTATACTACAAAGCTACCATGATAAAAACAGCACTGTACTGGCAAAGAACAGACCTAACGACCAGTGGAACAGATTAGAAGATGTAGAAACAACTCCAGACACACTCAGTCACATCATCTTTGACAAAGGTGCCAAACACCCTCACTAGATAGCCTCTTTAATAAATGGTGCTGGAAAAATTGGGTTTCAACTTGCCAAAGGTTAAAACTAGACCTATGTCTCTCACCATGCATGAAACTAAAATCAAAATGGATTAAATATCTAAATATTAAAATAGAAACGCTGAATCACCTGGAACAGAGGTTAGGTAGAATTCTTGAAGACATTAGTGTAGGAAAAGATTTTATGAACAAAACCTCAGTTGCCTGTGAACTAGCACAAACAATCAACAAGGGGGATCTCTTCTTATTAAAAAGCTTCTGCACAGCAAGAGAAACCACCAGCAGTGGGAAGAGACAACCCACAATGTGGGAAAAAATCTTCACCTGCTCTTCCTCAGACAAAGGTCTACTATCTCGAATCTATAAAGAACTCAAAAAAAATCAGACCTCCCAAACTTAAAGACCCAATCCGAAAATGGGCATCGGAAATGAACAGACATTTCTCAGACAAAGAAGTAGAAATAGCAAATAAACATGAAAAAGTGTTCAACATCACTGGTCATTCGAGAGATGCAAATGAAAACAACACTGAGATTCCACCTCACTCCAGAAAGAATGGCTGCTATCATGAAATCCACCAATAACAAATGCTGGCAGGGCTGTGGGGAAAGAGGAACCCTGCTCCACTGCTGGTGGGAGTGTATACTGCTACAACCACTGTGGAAATCAGTATGGAGATACCTCAAAGAACTAGGACTGGAAGTCCCATTTGACCCAGTTATTCCCATGCTGGGGATCTTCCCTCAAAGAATTAAGAGTCATACCACAGTGATATATGTGCACCCATGTTCATAGTAGTACAATTTTAATAGCTAAAACTTGGAAGCAGCCCAAATGTTCATTAACTGGAGACTGGATAAAGAAAATCTGGGGGTTTTTTATACAATGGAGTACTACTCAGCCATAACAAATGAGAAATTAGAGGCATTTATAGCTAAATGGATGCACATTGAGGCGATACTCTTAAGTGAAATAAATAGGACACACATGTGTAAATGCTGAATAGTTTCTCTAGTGTGAGAAACTGAAAGTGTAAATAAGGACTAAAAGGTATAATAGATAATGTGAAATAGGAAGAAAAGGGGCAAAGGGGAAGGGAAAGTGGGAGGGGGAGGGAAAGGAAAGAAGGGAATGGAGTTAATAGGAGAAAATGAAGGAATGGAAACAAAGTCTTTGTAAATAGGGAGGGATGGAGGGGTTGAAGGGAGGGCAGGGGAAGAGGGAAAAATAAGAACCAAGAGAGATTATATGAAGATGCAAATTTCTAATGATGAATGTCATTATATTGTACACCTAAAATGTACCAATAAAATAAAACTTTTTTTAAAAATGAGCCCTCCTTGAGCCCAAATCAAATAGAATGAAAATATGAGATCGTCATTGAAAAGTATTGTTCAAATTGCCTGTGTGCTTTAGGGAGGACATATCTCCAAAATAGAAAGAGCTCCCGGGTGGAAGCTGCATTATATGAATGATGAGGGCAGAGCCCCTGAAAGGCGGATAGTCACACCTGCACAGGGACACCTGTCAGGACACAGGAGAAAGGCAGAGGTACAGCCTGCACCCTACAACTGCTAGAAGGGATGTCATTTTGCAAGCATCCACCCAGAGGAGGTACCATCTTCTATTTTTGCAGAAAGCTGCCATGTGCTGTAACTGAGGCCCTAAAAGGGTGCTTTCCTGAATCTTGGCGCATTGCAAAATTCAAATGCAAAACTTAATTGCCTCTTGGAAGAATGGTTGTGTCTCTGGTGGGTGCTGTTCCAGTCTCTAGACTAGCCCAACTGCTGTGAGGTGCCAGGCAGTGCCTCCTTCTCCCAGGGCCCAGAGCACTTCTGGGCATCTTTATATCCCCTGCAGCTGTAGGCTGCTGTTGGGGTTCATTCTGAGAGCCAGGCCTGGGCCCCATAATACAGACCCAGAACAGGACAGGGAAAAACAGACATTTGGCCAAAGGCTTTGCAGGTTTGCATTCTGGCTTTGGCTTTAGCAGGCTTAGTAGTATGTCTGATTACCCAAAAAGAGGATTGAGTTCATCTGAGAAGGACCTCTGTCATTTGAAAGTTACTTACCACAGCCCTGAGCTGTTGATTGTCCCTTAGCCCCTGGTGAGGAGAAAAGAACAAGCCTTGGGAGAGCTCGCTTTTCCCATCTAGGGACAGGGCCACACAAGGGCTGGTGCCTGTTTCTCTGGAGTACGACATTGACCAGGACCCTAAGCATCTCAGGGGCTGGGTGTTATCCCCAAACCTGGTTCAGCCTCTTCTATCTCATGCTTGGAGGCAGAGGCTGAGGGAGTCTTTCAAACAGTCACAGATATACCACTGTGTGCTAGAGGGGACATGGCCACAGAAAAGCACCAGCCCTGGCTTCTTCCTTTTCCCTACCCTCACGTGTCATGGTGAGCCTAAGGCTGGGGCAAGTGCACAGCACACTGTGAATGCTGCTGCTCCCTCATCGGCCCCAAGCAGGATAAAAACAGTGGGAGCTCGGGACATCCAAAGTAAATATCAAACACTCAAAAGAAGATCAAACACTCAAAGACAGCTTCTTGCCTCAGTCCCATAAGCTGTGAGCGCTTCTCAGTTGCATGATCCACATAGTAAATTCTTGCTCTGCCCACAGTCCAACTTCTCTCACCTATGAAATGAGCTTATAACACCTTTATCCCTTCCTTGCCCCTCTAGCCCCCAGGCTATGGTAGGACCAAGTAAGTAATACAGAGGAAAATCCTTTGTAAAGCATTTTGTAAACTAGTGTTTCCATTCAGATATTGGTTATATGACAATGATTCAGAGTGTCCCATCCCCTGAGTGGCAGTGACCAGTAGGGCAGACACAAACTTGGCCACCTAATCCATCCTACCTGGGTTTTCTCTGATACACTTGTGGAAGGGGACTTTTTGCTGAGTGTGATTCATGCTGGCCACCTTCCCTGACCCAGGAAGAGAAGACAGTATTAGAGGTAGAGGGAAACAGCCCTCACTACAGTTTTTTGAGCACCTGGATGCAACTATGTCTGAAGCCAGGTAAACACTGAGATTTGCTGTTACAAGAAACTATGCTTTGGCAGGGAGGATGCTTAGGCTAGTTGGAGTTATGTATTTATGACTGAAGGAATTCCAACTATCTCTTGATACATTTTAATTTTATGATCATAAAGTTTTTAAAAGAAAAAAGCCTTGTCAAAGTTTCTTTAAATTAGTATATCTATCAGCAGCACGAAGAAGCAGAAAAGCATTGAACAGGTAATTCAAGCAACCTGGATTCTCTGCTGGATCCACAGGAATTTCTGTGTGACTTTAAGCAAGTTTCTTTAACTTGTCTGGTTCTCAATAAAATAAGGATTTAGAATTCATGATATCTAAGGTACTTCACAGTGCTAAATGTCTTTGATTCTAAGAGAGAAGACCCAATAATTCTGATATAAAGGGTTCTTAATTTAGACCTTTTATGTAAATATTAAGAATCAAGACTAATAATTTTAAATTAATGTCACATATTTATAATATAATCCTTTAATAAATTAAATGTGAGATGTCTTCATATACATTCAAAATATTCATTGCATCACTGGTTAAATTGGAAAAATTAGAAACAAAAATTGAGAACAACCTAATTAAATAAATTATGATACCCTCATAAGATGGAATAGTATGTAATTATAACAAAGGGATGAGGAAACTATGTAGGGATGGCCAATGTCTAAGGCACTATTTAAATGGAAATGGCAAAACACAAGGTGGTCATGCTGTGTAAAAAAGAGGAGGGGATGATCACATCAGTGCAATTCCAGATGTGTGCATAGATAAGTCACAGAATTTCAAAAAACTGGTATCATTGATTGCCTCTTTGGAGATGTTCTCTTATCTTTTACTATGCAATATATTCTTTTATCTTCTAAATGTCAAAACATGCTACTGTATTACCTACTCCAAATCAAACAAAAAATTAATTTAAAAATTACATATGACTTGTTTGAGCCTCATGTTGAAGCAGGAAGGCTACCTCGGAACCCCAGGTATGACTGTTCCTATTCAGCACAAGGGAATAGCCCAGAAGGCTCACATACTCAATCAAGAAGACACATCCAATTAACGATAGGCACTAGACAGCACCATCCCCTCAACTTTGAGTCACATTCCAGCCCCAGAACCCCCCAAAACAAAGTTTTCCTTAAAACTAAGGACCCTGAACAATCACCTGGCCTTGCTGCAACCCAGACACAGGGGTCAAGGCGGCCATGTGGTCTGAAGTGTTAATAGGTGAGTAGTCAAGGTAAACAAACCGGACCCTTCTGCAGGGCCGCAAAGCAATCTTCATCCCCTAGAAGTAAGTTTTGAATCCCTATCTTCCATATGGCCAAGACAGGTTCTATTTTTAACAAACCAGCCCTTTCCAAGTAAGCTGCTCCCGGAGTTCATATGAATAGTGGGGAGAAGGTCCACGGGGCACTGTCTTCTGGAAAACACAGCCTGGGATCAGGTACCTTCACTTGAGACCACAAGGAAGGTGGTAGCTGACCCAAAAGGGCTGCAGCTCCTTCACCCCTGGTGGGAGAGTCGCCTGTGCCCAGCCCCTGCTGCTGCCTGCTTTGCTTCCCTGGGGTGAAAGGAGGGAAGACAAAGAAGGAGAAGGCTCAAAACACCAGAGAGGAGAGAAGCTTAGACATGTGGCCGTGTCCAACCGCAGAGTCAGTACAGAGGAACACCTCTAAGTGCCATGTGGATACATTTACTCCCCTGGAAAACTCAGCCCTGTAGACAAAGAAGCTCACCAGCTTGTTCCTGAGCCAGGCCCAGCCAAGCTTCAAGCTCCAGAGCACACTCACCAGGTTTGATTTCCAGAAGTCGAAGCTTTGGATCCTCGGGAGGATGCAATCGCCTCTTCTTGCGCCAGCAGCGGGCAGGGTATGTATACAGCTGGCCTGGAGCGAGGCCTGTGGACAGAGAGCATGTAAAGATTAAAGGCTCCAGGCTGGAATGGGCCATGGTAACTACTCCCAACTAACAGAGAGCGGAAACTCAAGCCCAGAGAGGCGAGGTGGCTTGTCAAGGTGACACAGCTGGTTGATGGCACAGCCAAGGCTGAATCTAGGCCATCTGCCCCAGAACATTGCTAGTTGTTCCACCATACTGTTCAGCTCACCCAGGCCAAAAAGAGCCATCACTTAAGCAACAGCAGCTCTGCCCTCTGACCCTTCAGACCATAGGAAGAGTCAATCTCATGACAACTCTCCCAAGGCAGTGGCTCTCCAGCAACTGCCTCTCTGTCCAGGTATAGATTAAGTAGGTTCCTGTCAAGGTAGACAGGAGAAGTCACGGGCCTACCTTGGGGCTGCCTCCATGGAAACACATATCTGCTCTGGAGACCAGGCTCCATGGTCCACAGAGCAGCATTCCGGGACACTGCTGCCCATCTGCATGTGACATCATGGGTATGCGTCCCAGAACTGGGCTCATGGACTGCACTGTTCTCCAGCAGGAGTCTCCATTTATATTTGGCCTCTGACACCATGAGCAATACTGTCATGCCCAGAACTCCATGAGGAGCTTTCGTGATGCCCAGACAACACTCCTATGGCACACAGTGTGACAACATGGAGGGGTATGGATTCTCCACAGGAGTCCAACACAGCCTACTCTTAGGGGAAAAGGAAGAGAGTAAGGCTGAGGGGAAGAGAAAGGTGCTTAAGACTAGTAGGGTTTGGGTCCGAGGATGTAGATCAGTGGTGCCCCTCCTGCCTGGCAAGCACAAGGTCCTGAGTTTGATCCCCAGTACCAGAAAAAAAAAAACACTGGTAGGGTGACTTGCAGCCTAAAAAGACCATCTAATGTTCCTCCAAATAAACCAGTAACCGACCAGCCTCACTATGCTAGAGTGGAAAACCCACAGAGAACTGGACTTTTCTGTCTTATCCCTGCTAGGAGCCCCAGAACCAAAACTATGTCTGACATGCAGAAGAACCCAACTAAGAATTTGTTGGATGGATGGATGGATGGATGGATGAATGAATGAATGAATGAAAATGTTCCAGCTTTTACTCTAAAATAAATTCTGTCTTCTGTGGATAAACGTGGCAATGACAGCTATTAGATGTAGGCAGGTCCATATGAAAGTGTCCCTGCCTAAACCTAGGGACACGGGGCTCAGAAAACGCCAGTACCCTATTCCCCTCTACATTCCAGGGCCCTAAAAGTTAAGAGGGGAAATTGCTTTCATTATTTGCCTTTGCAGAGAAAAATCTATAAAAGTTCTGTTATTACATACCTGTTCATTCATTTTTCAATTTCTACCAGTCATCTTTACCAATTCATTGGGCTGTGTCCCAAGTAGAGGCAACTCTCCCAACATTAAAGGAATGAAAATATTCAGGTGTCTTTATGTGCTAAGTATCATTTTAATCATACAGGTGCTCCCACAGGTTGCAAGACTGTGAACAACTTGGAGGTTTTGATTCCTCCCATTTTGATTCTCAGAAACTATTAAGATTGGAGCCTACAGGGCTCCTGCTTTGTGGGCTTCTGCATAGTAGGAGGATCCTGTAGCTTTGAGCTCCCTGAGCTCTAAGGACTAGACTTATAGCAGGTGAATATAAGCCAAATGAAGCAAATAAAGGAAGCTTGCTCTCCCTGTCATGAGAGGTCCAGGGGTCTCCTCTCTTTGAGGGAAGATATCATTAGAAATAGCTCAATGTTTCTGCTATGGCTTACTTCAGGACCATGTCATCTCTGATCCTGCCATTCCTAAATGAATGTCTTGATTCTGAGTCCCTTCCAGCTGTCCAGGCAACCACTAGGCATGATGATCTTCAGGATCTCAGGGAAGACCAAGTACTGATCTGCTACTCCACATCCCAGAACTGGTCCCACCAATCCCTACTCATCTTGGCTTAGTGATTCTTAACATGGGCTGAAACCAAAATCACCTGGAGAATTTCTCAAAAGCACTAGTACCCAGAATTCATGCCAGAACTTTCAAATCTGAATTTAGGTAGCTGAGAAAACTGGGTGACTATTTTTTAAGAACTTTATAGATTGTTGGAATGTCTAACTGGGAACCTCTGGGTGTCTACGCATCATCTAGTTACTGCCTGCATGTTTTTCTGATGGGCCAAGATTAGCTTAACAGCTTTTGCGGCAGGATCCCGAGCATCCTTGTATTTCCCCCAAAAGTATTGTAATTAATTGCCTGCTTACTAGATTGTCTCTCCTACTGGTTTTATAAGATCCAGGATGGTAGGAATCATGTCCATCTCTCATATCCCCAACAACTACTGCACAGTGCTTAGAGGCACATCAAAGAATCCCCATCAAGTAAACACATTCAACAGAACTGAACCCAACTCATAAATACAAGAAGTGAACAATCACTGGCCCTGCTGTTCCTTTCTCCAAGAGACTCTACAAAGTGGACCCAGAACTGAGCCCAGAGCCCAACTTACCAAACCCAGCATGGCAGATTCTGGTCTCAAATTTCTTTCTTGTCCCCTAGACTACCCCCTGGTATATCCAACATAATCAAAGCCAGGTGAGGAAGAAAGTGCCAGGCCAGCACTTTCAAAAACTCTAAGTGACAAGAGCTCAAAAATATCAGCATTTGTTCCTACAGCCTCCCAGAGACGGTAGTCACTACACCTGCGGGTCAGCAGCACCGAGGCAGCCCCAGGCCACTCTGCTGGTAGCTGTAGGCCCCTTTCCTGAGAGCCAATTTTGGTTAAGTCCTTTGAATGCCCAGAAGAGAGAGCTGGTTTTGTTTGATTCTTTTTCCAGTAGACTGGAGAAGCCCCATGGTGCAGAGGAAGAGCACACAAGTACTGGAAAATATCCCAACACCTGTCTAAGCCCGCCTCCTCACCTGGAAGATAAGGGCATCAAGGAAACCCACCTATGGGACTATCATGGAATTCACTGATACTCAAGAGGAAGATCTTTAAGGCCTTAAAAACTTAACAACTATCAGTTGTTGATTACCAGGATTTAGCTGATACAGACTTATCTTGGACTCTAGGACCACATGGTTTGACAAGGCTCCCCTGCCCCACCCACCCATGCTACCCTTTGGCCATTTAGTCACAAGATGGAAACGGCTTCCCTTTGATGTCTACTTTGATTCCACCTTGTCTCCTTACCCCCTTCCTTGCCCACCTTCCTAAGCTGACAAGCACCAGGGTTCCTTTATAGGGCCACCACATTCGGCCCTGGAGTTTCACTTATACAGGGAGGAGAAGCCTCATGAGACTCATGTTGTTTATCTCATTAGAACAAGAGGCTCATAACTGAAAAGCCCATGTGTGTGGAAGATGGAGGAGGGAAGAGGAGGAAGATGGAGTCACAGCTGCTGCTAGGGAAATTAGCCTTGAGGAGTGAGCCTGGGGCTGGGGCTGGAGGAGGGGAAGCAGGAGAGAGGGAAGCAAGAGAAGAGAGGAAGGATCAGTCCTTCCTGGTAACCAAGGCCACAGCTACCCCTCCATTCACAAACCCACTGAGCAAACTGCTTTTCTGTTGACTCAAGCTGAAACTCCAGTTACAGAACTCTGCCTGTGTGAAAGCACCAACATGTCAGAGAAAGAGAGAGAGAAATGTTCACTCTTCACATTTGCTGGGGAGATTAGTTCCACGCAAAAATTTGGTATGATAGGTTTGGCGTCTAAATGATCACCAGACTCAAGACAAATATCTTGTTACACGTGTTTTTCAAGTTTTGCAAAACCTGTGTTCTGAGCATCTGTGACAAACAAGGCATGAGCTATGAGGAGTTCAGAAGAAGAAATGTGATGGAAAAGAGAGGGAAGGAAGATATGGAAAAGGAACAGAAAAGTAGAAAAGAACTAGAGTGGCTTTCTCTTCCCCTAACCAGACGTGAACTGTGAAAATTCAAGCTCACTCCAAGAGAGGACTCTCCCTGCAGCATTCCAGAGAGGTGGTCCCACAGCTGCTAACAGACCTCAATGGAAAACTGCTTCACAGGACAGCCTACCCTACTGTCGGCCAACACTTGTGACAAAGAGAGTCACTCTGCCCTTATTTTGAATCAAAATCTACCTCTGAAACTTATGCCAAATTGTCAACCCTCTGTTCCAAAACTCCATCCCATATACCCACTTGGTTTTGAAGAGAAGTCAACCAGGAAGCTGAGGAACTAGAGAAGAATAGAGGTGGGGGAGAGACGTAGTGAGTGCACCTGCTCAGAGCCAAGGAATAGGACAAACGGCTCCAAATTAAGAATCCAAATGCTGCAGCCCTTTGATCATCTGTCCCATCCCAAAAGGAAAGGGATGGAACCAATGACTCTGCTTTGGGCCATCAGTTCCATTTAAACAGCTCCTCCATTTCTTACTTCTACCATGTGTCACCACAATGGGCCTCCCACAGCCTCCCTGTTGATAAACAGATAATTATATGAGGTATGAATTCTCCAAGCCTGAGCATAAGAACTGCATAAGTCGTTACTGAAACACTAAATACTGAACCAGAATATCAGAGACACACCAAGGCATTTGTAGTGGGGGGAATTTCCACATAAGGAAATCTGCACCAGATCAAGTCTTACTCATGTTCATACTCCTAGGGCTTGTCCAGCATATCATAGGTGCTCTGTCAGTATTTGTGTTTGAAAACACCAATTTGAATCAACTCTACGGAACTGGAGGGATTAGTCACAAGACCCTAGGCAGGGCTTGAAAAGTGGGCAAGATCATTTCACAAGAAAACCAGCAGCATTTCCCCGGAGCAATGCCCTTTTCTCTTCTCTTGGTTTATTTAAGATCTGCCCTGACTTCAAAGGCAGCTTTCAGTGAAGGCTTCCTGAACTACCCTCTAAATGACTGGAGTCTGGGAACTTAGTACCACATTCTAGGACTCAGCCCGCCCCCACATACCTCATCAGCCATCCCCTTTGCACACTCCCAACACTCTCCCTGAACTCTCTCATTCTAAG